CCCCCCCCCCCCACTCCCAAAGCCTCACCCCTTCAGTTCCGCAGCAAATCGGTTCCCCCGCCCGCTGCCTGGGCCAGGCGGGGTTAATTCCGGATTCCCCCTCCCCCCCACTCCCAAAGCCTCACCCCTTCAGTTCCGCAGCAAATCGGTTCCCCCGCCCGCTGCCTGGGCCAGGCGGGGTTAATTCCGGATTCCCGCCCCACCCGGTGCCATTAGCCAATCAGAGCATGGCTGGCGTTCTAGGGGCGGGGCGGCCTTGCCGGGGGGAAGCACATCTCGCTCTAGAGCGGCCCTGAGGAGAGGGGGGGATTTGCATACCTCAGGGTGGGGGCGTGGCCTATTATTTCCTCTGCTCTGCGCTGGCGGGAGGGAAAGTCCGTCGCTGAAAAGAGCGATCTGGGAGGTGGGAGGGAGTTTCAGGCCCCTGCTGCCCCAGCCTTCCCGCGGGGGTAGATGCAGCAGCCACGGGGAGTGCTCCCATGCTGAGCTGCCAGGGTCCACGGGGCTACCTAGGAGATGCACGTGTGTGGCCAAGGTTGCCCATATCCATGAATCTGTGTGTGACCCCTCCACGCCCATGTGTGTTGTGTTGGCAAGTTCTTTACATCCACCCCTGCGTGCTCAGATCCTTTTAAGGTGTTCTTAAAGATCTGCTTTGTTCCTGTTTTTTTTTTTTTTTTTTTTTTTGCGGAAGTGTAGACGCGCTCTTTTGGAAGCCCTGTCTTCCTCCTTCCATGAGGAAGAAGGGCTCTTCTGAGCCTGTATTATTGTGATCATTAGAACTGCTGATGCAGCTCCCACAGGCCTGTATCATGATTATTTTTTTCTTTGTCTCTCCTTCCCTGGTGTTCTGCATGGCTGCGAGCAGCCAAGGAATTGCCCTGAGCTCTATCATAAAAGTGCCAAATAAGCAAGGTGAGCTGCGGAGGATAACTGGCTAAAATCATGCTTGCAAAGCACATTATCAACTGGGTTGCAATTTCAATTACAATTTTTATTTTCCTGTAGGGATGTGATAGTGTATTCGTTTAAATGATTAACTGATGACTCAATGGAGGAGAGCAGGTGTTGGCAGGGAGCCCAGCTTTTAAGCAGGTTCCATGTATCAGAGGCAGCAGCGTGGGGGGAGAGGAAAGGGTTCTATGAAGTGGGCTTAAAAACTGGCTCCCCACCAGCAATGGTGGAATTTCGGGAGAGCAGGGTGGGGCAGCAGCAGTGCATACCAGGACATAGCCTGCTTTTCAGCCTGTTCCCTGGACTATCAAGGAGTGAGGGGAAAGTACTTTGATTCCATGCATGCCTCTCACTCCTGGCTGGTGAAGAGAGGGGGCAGCAAATCATGGAATGCAAGTACTTTCCCCTCACGTCCCAGTGTGCACGGTGGCTGCCCCTGCCCTCCCAAAACTCCACCCTTGCCCGCCAGCACCGGCTCCCATAGAGCTGCCTTTCCCCCTCCCTACAGCACTAGAGCCCTTAATACAACAGCCTTATCCTACTGCCTGGGAACTTGAACGTGTAACTGACATCTTGAATTTTGGCATTCTTCTAATAACCTGCAAGCATGACATTTTAATTCCTTTATCTGGACATGCAGAGCAATTTACATTTTGTTGCTGTTAATTGAAAGATGAAAAGGTTACAGACTAGGTGATCTAACATGGGCTTCTAACCTCAGTGATTCTATGAATAATGTGTTATATTAGTAACTTGAACGTGTAACTGACATCTTGAATTTTGGCATTCTTCTAATAACCTGCAAGCATGACATTTTAATTCCTTTATCTGGACATGCAGAGCAATTTACATTTTGTTGCTGTTAATTGAAAGATGAAAAGGTTACAGACTAGGTGATCTAACATGGGCTTCTAACCTCAGTGATTCTATGAATAATGTGTTATATTAGTAATACATGATATAGAGGGAAATTAATATCACCCCTGCTAAGTAGCTCACATTTGGTACATACAGGCAGTCCCCGACTTATGCGGATCCGACTTATGTCGGATCCGCACTTACGAATGGGGCTTTCTCGCCCCGGAGGTCGGGGCGAAAAAGCCCCGTTCGTAAGCTGCTCCGGTGCCCCGGTCTGCTGGAGACCGTTTCCAGCAGACCAGGGGCACCGGGCGGGGTACAAGCCAGCTCTGGCTTGCTCTGTTGTGGGAAGAGAGAGCCCAAGCCTCGTGGGCCGGATCAAGACATGCCGCATGCTGGGCCATAGGTCCCCATCCCTTTAACTAGATACAAATTTAATCACTAGCAGAACTTAAAATTATCGATAAGGTGAACTGATTTCGAAAGAACATGGTTTTCAAAGAAGAATAAATAAATTAAAACTAAATAAATATTTAGCTACCAGATTGCAGAAAATATCTCAAAAGTAAGTGACATGTTATTGCATATACAGGCAGTCCCCGACTTACGCGGATCCGACTTACGTCGGATCCGCACTTACGAACGGGGCTTTCTCGCTGCTCCGGTGCCAGCAGAGTTGCTCTGCCCCGGGCTTCCTGGAATCAGCTGCTGATCAGTTTCAGCAGCAGCTGACTTGGGGACGCCTGGGGTTCTTAAGTTGATTCTGTATGTAAGTCAGAACTGGCGGTCAGTTTCAGCAGTGTCTGAATCTGGACGCCAGTTCCGACTTACATACAGATTCAACTTAAGAACAAACCTACAGTCCCTATCTTGTACGTAACCCGGGGACTGCCTGTACATAGTACAGTAGATCGGAGGAAGCAATAGACATGCTGTCAGGGCTGTTCCCCATTCTGGCACTCTGAGTGCAGAAGGTGGGAGCCAACAAAAAGCTCAAAAGAAAAAAAAAACCCTGGGCAATACAGGCACTGGCTACCAAACATTCCCCCCTCTCCCTCCCGATCACAATACAGGCAGTCCCCGAGTTACGCGGATCCGACTTATGTCGGATCC